GGCCCTCTAATAGAGCCCTTATGGTCCTTAATTGTGGGTATTTAGGCTATATTAGAGGGTAGTTGGGGGGTCTAGGAAAACCCTGAAGTTTCAAAACCCTGAAACCCTCAACCGCTGGCACTGCGCCTGCGGCCCTTCGTCCCCGGAATCGAAGGGGTCGGAGGAGGTCGGCATGCCCGCCGTAGTGCTGTCGCTCTGGCCTTGCGGGCGGTGACGCTTTCTGCAAGAGTTTTTACGAGGGCTTTAGGGTTCTTCTAAGGGATCTATAACGGCACTATGGGGTTTAGGGTCTTGGGGTTTCTTATCAGGGCTGCTGTCTGCCCAGTAGCTGTTGGAGCCGTCCTCTGTGTGGTCCGTGCTCTTACGAAGCTGCATCATCGACCTGGATTGCAGTTTTGGGGCCCGCGGAAGTATTCAGGGTTTAGGGTTTAGGGTTTATTTATGGATAGATAACTCCATGAAACCCGCAGTCCTAAACCCCAAACCCAAACCCCAAAAACCCTAAACTCATAAGGAACGTTTAAGGTTTCCAGAAGTGCCGCGGAGTGACCGTCTTTAGAGCCCACGCTCTGGAAGCTGCTGATGAGCTCAACGCTCAACTGGGGCTGTCCCTTTGGGAAAATCGCTGGGCACAGACCTCTTGGGTGGACCGCGGGTTATAATTGCAACAATCTCTGCTGCAAATGGCTGCGAAGGTCAGTCGCAAGGTTCACGACGCCTAAGTACAACATCTTAGAATTATGGCACAGCTCCGTGCCCCTCCATGGCAAGACCCTGAAACCCGAAACGCCTGACCTTCTCGAATCTCACAACCTGGACAGAAGCAGCACCCTCTGGGAGGTTCATGGGCTTTCTCGCCCAATTAATTACAACATTTGGTGCAAATTGCATGGCCTCGGAGCTAAATCCTATTCCCTTATAGATCCCTCTGATGTAGATCCTGGATCCCAAACCCTAAGCCTAAATCCCAAACTGGATCCCCACTAGATCTTGCTACGGAACCCACCTACGCGCCTGGTTTAACACTGCAGCGCCCAAGAAGCAGAGATGCCAGGATCCCTCGATGAAGAAGACGATTTCGGGGCTCCGTTCAGGAATCTTGAAGGGTCTACTATAAGGGGTCTGAAAGGGTTTTATAAGGGTTCTATGTGGGTTTAGGATTTCGGATTTAAGCTTCAGGGTTTAGAGTTTGGAGTTTAGGGTTTCCGGGTTTTAGGGTTTAGGGTTTAGGGTTTAGGGTTTAGGGTTTAGGGTTTAGGGTTTAGGGTTTAGGGTTTAGGGTTTAGGGTTTAGGGTTTAGGGTTAGACTCTTTTTGAGGTCTAAACCCACAACAGAATTCAGAAACTCGGGCTCTTGCCGCCAGTCATGTCTCTGCGCCTGCCAACGGGTGCCAGTAATATGAGGGCCTTAATGATAAGAATCGGATTTTGGGGTATAGTATACTATAATACGGAACCCTCAAAGCAGTATTGGTAACTATTTAGGACCCTAAACCCTAAACCCTAAACCCTAAACCCTAAACCCCAAACCCTAAACCCTGAACTCTGAACCCTAAACCCCGAAGAGTTCAGG